GGAAACTAAGTTAAGGTCCTAATATATATATATATATATATATATATATATAATTTGATGAACGAATGGAGGATAAGTCTATTAGCTTGCTAGCCATGATATGCTAGAATGGAGATGCGGTATATATATATATATATATATATTCATTATATTCGGTATATATATATATATAAATATATATATATATATATATATATATATATATATATATATTCATTATATATAAGAAGACAAAATATAAAATAAGTAAACTTTTTCTGAGAATTCGTTTTTTTTCATTTTTATAACTTATCGGTCTTTAGTCTTTATTTTAAAAGTAATGTTTTGAAAAATATAAAAACGAGTGATCACAGAATAGTTCATATGTGGATTAAAGTTAATAACCTAAATTATTGTCATCAAAGGGTTGATAAAATTATATGAAAGTTACAAGCTTATTTAATAAATAATGAATGTATTATAATTGCAATTTTTCGGGCTTGCCAAGAATGCATAACTATAGATTCCATATCAGGATATATATACATGGAAAATAACATGTGTTCTATATCGAAATTTTTATATCTGAAACTATTACATATTTTATAAAGGTAATTTAATTTTATGTTGCTAATCGTGATTTTAGTTTTGAAATATTTATTTTTCTGAACAAAACTTTTACAAATTAAAATTATAAAATAAAATAATTAAATTGATATTGTGCTTAAGAATTATTTGTATTTTAGAAAAAGTTAATAACAGAATCTAATAATTTTTACTTGCAAGATGATATATATAAAATTGATAATATATATTTATATATATATTATCAATTTTAGAATTTTTACGATTCTTTATTAGTTCATGGTGTGACGGTGTGACCTAATTGTTGAATAGTCCCATAGAATACCTTTAAACTAATCTAAACAATCTAAGTGATTTTCAAAAATATACGATTAATAAATTATTTTTTACACGTTATATATAATTTGTTTCTCTTTTGCAACGACTTAACAAATATCTCTTCGAATCTCAGTATCAAAATTATTAATTTGCAGGTACAAGGTTTGGTTACATCCAGACAAAGGTTGGAATTATAAGTCTCCTGTCGAAATTCAAGTTTAAACTGCATCCCCAGACTATGATACCGCTGGTTTTCGATGAAGCAGCAATTGTGCTTACGGCCAAGGCCGGTATACATCTCACTATTGAATCGCGATAAGTTAATTACGCTCATACTTTTAAATAAACCGAATGTCACTCCAGACTTTCGTGCTTAGAAATTGTCGGTGATTCGAAGTAATAATGTTCTTTTGAATCTGGTTTGCCTTCGCCATTTATATTATAATCATTATTTCTGTTGCCATCATTCTTTGTATCGTTAAGATATACTAAAAGGATTATTCAGGGAATAATCGTAACTTTATAAATCTCTGATTATTGATGAAACTAATCTTACTTTATGCAGGACATATTAAAGATTTATCTAGACATATTTACACAGCCATATACTGCATAAACAAAGCAAAACTATCTCTCATGTCATTTATTTTCATTTCTTTACATTGTAGTACAATATCCTTTCATTTTACAATAAATTTTAGTTTTTATCATTTTGATATAAACATTCTTGTGACTTTCTACGAAGATGACATGAGTATTATCGAAACAATATACATATTTCAATATATATTTATTTAAAGTTTGTGTTCCTGTATATATATATGTACAGAACTAAACATAAGATAGAAAACAGACTTATCACTTGAATAAGATGTATCTTTAACTACATCTTCAAGCATGTACTCGATTTTGTTTCTTACTAAAAATGTACTTATTACTGATGTATGTTCAAGGTCGCGATTTTAACAACAGATGAAAATTGCCCACTCGACTTAAAGTTCAATCTAATCTTTAAACACACATTAATTGTATTTTTCATGTCTTCTATAACAAAATTAATTAGATCTACATGATTATAATGTTTACAAGTTTTAATTTTATGAAAGTTTTTAAAACATTTATAAAATTAAAAACTTATACAGTAAAATAAAATTAAAAACTTATACAGTAAAATAAAAAAAGAATTTATTACCTTAAATATATAGTTGTCAAATTATATATAATATTCTGTATATATATATGTTATCAATCATATTTATATAATTATTATATATAATTGTTATATATTTTAGCTTTTTTATGGTTTTTTTTATTTCTATATTCTCCGATTTTTGAACTACAAAAAACTAAAAAACAAAAAAAGGAGAATGTAAAATATCAAGAAAAGGAAACTCTCTTTGAGAATTCCCTTCATGTTTACCTTTGTTCCATTTTTTATAATCTACTGGTTTAGTCTTTATTTTAAAAGTAATATTTTGAAAAATATAAAAACGAGTGATCACCGAATGGTTTATACGTAAACTATCTAAATTATTGTCATCAAAGAGTTTATTGAAAATTATATGAAAGTTACAAGTTTATATTTATAAATAATACATGTGTTATAACTAACTTTTCGAATTTGGCAAGAATTCATAAATATAGATTCCACATCAGGACGCAAGAAACAGTCAATATTATAAATAAAATATTAAAATTCTGTCCAAGTTCTCTACAATGCAAAACTCGACGTAATAATCCTATAATTCAGCTTGTTACGTGATATTGCATAACGTAAAGCCCAACGCACGAGAAGTGAAAGAATTACATATGTATAGCATAAGATCGTATGTACAATGAGTATCGACTGTTGAGCAATTCAATTCTAAAATTTAGACTTAATATTCGATGCTTGGAATTTTCTATTTTCAAAGTCCATACTAGTTTGTGCTATGTATATGCAACTATGTCATTTCATATACAAGGAATTCAACACTCATATTTATAGATTTTCCATATACACGCAGAACATAAATGATTATGATAAGAAAATGTAGTGAGAAAATTTGGTCCTATGACAATTGTCAGATCATACTTAAAAGCATAACGAAACGATTATACAAGTTAGCAAGCGCTGTGTATTCTCAATGTCGTATCAATAATATATATATCAACGTCTTCGATTAGAAGATATTGTTCATAGTGTTAATATTTATAAAAGAAGATACCTTCTTCTATATGTTACATCATAAAATTATGTGGATGATGATGAGTGGTCGGATGACATGTAGTCGGAATAAATACATTGCTCGACGATGCTAAATATTAGAACCTATCAATTGGTTGGGCACGCATATAAAATAAAGTCATATTATGGATCGTATTTGATGCAAATCCATGGACGTTTCTCATTCTGATTTATAGGCAAATCTCATACTTATAAGATCTATATTGAGCAAGAACACTAGATTTTTATATTGCAGGTTGTCGCATATGAAATGTGTACTTATGATCACATCATAAAAAGTTAATGATGCTGATGTGATTGGAATAAATACATTGCTTGATGATACCAAAGAATTCGAAGCTATTTTATTAATTGGTAGTTTACTCTTGTAAAATAAAATCATGTTATTGGTTATATATGCAATTCCTGAATACATATTTGGATGTATAAGCAAATATCTCATACTTATAAGATCTATATTGCAACACACTACAAAATTTTTTGCATTTGGTGAAACATTGCATATGAAACGTGTACTTCTTATTAAACACAAATCTCTAAAAGATTTATTAAAGAGTTCTCAAGTCCTCCAGAACACTTTTAGAATTCTTTAAGAAGTCTTTTAGAAATTTGTGCTATATGGGTTATGAAACATACAACAATTATTGTGTCTGACTAGGAATCGCTTAACTTACTTCATCATCGCAATGATCTCGAATGATTTAGAAAAAGCAAAGAATATCTTCAGCTTTAGCTTATGTCTTTGGAAATTCCTTAACATATTTCTTTTGCAAGACATAAACGAATTCATATCGAAGATCTCGAAAAACATTTCTCGCACGTTAGCAATTCAGACCGTTCATAACAGTAAAAACACGATTGATTACTTACAGACATTTGTACCTCGTAAAATATCTGCCCAAATAGATTGCTATCTTTTGACTAATTACAAAAGTATTTCCTTTATCCCTGAAATCCACATATTTGCTTTCGAATAGGGCATATTTCATCTTAATCAATTTTCTAAGAGATATTTGATACATAAGATATTATGTAGACCTGATTACACCAGATATGGATATTCAAGGCTTCTTTTATCATTTCATTCTCCTCGCCACTAAAAAGTAAAAAATCATGTAACAATAATCACATGTTATTAAATCACCGTGTTTCTCGCTTTGCACACGTGGCAAAATTTCGAATGGAAAAACGTATTATACTCACGAGATTGGAGTGTCCCTAATTTCGTATATATCGTCATACAATCCATATTTATTTTAATTTGTTCGAGTAACTGCAAAATGCAACGTTTGCGAATACTTGTAATATAATTTAAAAATGTAAGAAATTCTGTTCCTTAGTCAAAGTAATAAAATTCCGTGAAGTATAGATGTATACTTGACAATAGCTCGAAGGACACTAAAATGTTGATATATGTTTTCAAATATATATGTTTTCAAGTAAGTGAAATAATAATAATCTACAAAAAAAGTATTTGTTATCAAATACAATATCACGAATAAATTGAAAATATACGGTAACATGTGAATATTGCGAATCATATGTTTATATTTCTTGTGCGCATTAAATTTATGTAAAAACATTGTCCGATAGATTTTAGCCTTTTCTTGTAACAAGAATACGAATAATCATTTTTGATATATTTTTCTGGACAAGAATCCGTCGTTTAAATTTAACTAAAAATTTTAAAAGAAATGTAATGAGAGAAAAGGGCTAAAACGATGATTTTGAGTGGTTTCATGCTATTCTGATAGCGTCAGAATATCTTTCAGAATAAATTTCGTCAAGTGAAAATATGAAGGTAGTTATATCGTAAAATAAGTTTTATTACAATTTGACGTAAAATTTGCACTTCATACATAGTAAAAACTTATCTAATTACTTAAGCAATTAGAGAAAGATTGGCCACTCAAGATCTAAGATATTAGCAACCAAAGTTGACGTTTCGCATACGTGTTCTTCGAGGTTGGCGTACTATTTCTAATTTTTGTTTTTTCTAAACATGTGTAACATTTTGACGAAAAACTATTATGTAATATCGAAGGCTAATAATATATTGACATCATACACAAATTTCACAATTATTGACCATGTTATTTCCAAACCATTCCGCTGGAAAATTCTTAATTTATAGTTATATTCAAAATATGTGTACATATACACATATTTAAATACTTAAATACTTCTTATACATATAAATACTTCTTATACACATATTTAAATACTTAAATGCTTCTTTTTATTATCTGTACATTTCTATTAGACAAACTGACGCATAGATAAGGCACTTATTAAAAAATAAAAAAATAATAGTTTTTTCGTATTTGTATATTGTACATATTTATTTATCTCAATTTTTCGTTTCAAATTAATAGTGATAAATAGATAGAGAAATAAATGTGTAGAAATATAATTTTTCTTTATAAGTAATAAATTTCTGAGTGGCTCTTTTGATGTGCCATTGTGTAATGTGTGTGTGTGTGTGTGTGTGTGTGTGTAAAAATAGAACATTTAGCGATTGTTGTAGCCGAATCGAAAGATCGATGATATGAAGTCGGATGAGGTGTCCGTGATAAGAAAGGAAACAAGAAGGATAAACAGATGAGAAGGTCGTATGTACATAGACTGAGCTGACGTGTAGCGAAATAACTTTTTCAACCGATATTCCTTAGAGCGATAAAAGCTTATTAAATGTTTATTTAGTTTTTATAAACATATCTCTTGTTTATTATCCAGACGAGCACGCGAGTAAGCGAAACGCAACATTTTGAAAGCTTGTCCGGGTTGATGTAACGTAATATTACATTGGAAAAAAATATGGATGTTTCAAAAATAGGAATCCATCGCTCGAGAGTTAATTGAGAACCCAAAAAAAGTTAGTACAAACACAAATCCGAAACTGCGTTATTTTCGAGTTATCGCCATTTTTATGTTAAAATTTCAAATTGCTTTACTTTCGAATTTTTTTGTCAAAACTTAAAGAACAGATGGTTTTTATGAGTTATATAACATAACTGAAATCAAATCGAAAGCTGCGGGCTATCTTAGCACTACCCAAGATAAAGGTACAGTCCGCTTAGCGTCATAAACAAAGAAATATTATAAAAACCATGTCTTCTTTCAATTTTAACAAAAAAAACTTGAAAGCAAATTAATTTGAAATTTCAACATAAAAGTCATCATTATATTATATGTACTAGCAAAATAATGCGCAGATCACATAATATGCATATTATTACCCACACAGCACGTAATATTACAGTAATATCACAGTAATACTACTGTGTCCAAAAAGTAAGGTGACATTGCATTTATTTCGAAAATTCTTTATTTATTCTTGCAAATCAATTTCGTCCCCTTCAAAGTAATCCCCCCCTGATATAATACACTTATTCCAACGGATTTTCCAATCTTCGAAACAGTTGTAATAATCGATTTCAGGAATGGCCTTTAGCTCCTTCTTCGCAGCGGCTAACTGTGTGACGATAATGCACCGTCACACACTGCGCTGATTATTCGTGATTTTTTAGCCAAAAACTCGACTAATATCGTTCCACAACCACCGTATTCACCTGATTTGGCTCCATGCGACTTCTGGCTCCGGGGACACCGTTTCGAGTCGATAGAAGAGATTCAAGCCGCTGCGAAGAAGGAGCTAAAGGCCATTCCTGAAATCGATTATTACAACTGTTTCGAAGATTGGAAAATCCGTTGGAATAAGTGTATTATATCAGGGGGGGATTACTTTGAAGGGGACGAAATTGATTTGCAAGAATAAATAAAGAATTTTCGAAATAAATGCAATGTCACCTTACTTTTTGGACACAGTAGTATTACAGTTCCATTGCAATATTATAATGAAATGTAGCAAAAATATTACTGTAATATTACTGAGATATCACAGTAATATTACAATGTCCGCGAAAACGCATCACAGTAATATTACTGTAATATATCATTATATAATGATAATATCATTATATGATGATACTGTAATAAAAATGTTCGATTGTATAAAGGATTTGTCTGCGTATTATTTTATATATTACTTATTATTTTATTTATCGAAGACTGCTTCTTCTACTGCAATCGCCAGTATAATAATTATCAATAGCAGAAGTAAGAATGGCCAGTCAGCATGAAATTGTTTATGTGATGTCAAAAGACTATCATTTGAATTCGATTAGTATATCTCTGTTAAGAATATAAAATGAATATTAATAAAATGTAAGTGCTGATGCACTTAGCATATTTTGCAAAAGATTGAGTGATAAAGATACGTATATTGTGGATCGATATATAAGTAAGTTCTTCTTTCTTCGAAATAGTTTCGCATAATAACCCGCAAGAGGTATGCGCGTGATAATTGGTGATTTCATGCAATTTTACGATTAAACGATTAAAGTGACACATATAATTAGATCTGCATCTGGCGGCCAATAAAGAAATTGCTTTTAACATTATTTTCTCTATTTTAACAAAGGTGACAACAACGGAATTACAATTAATACTTTGCTTTTTATGTCAGATGAGCCGTTTATGTTTCTCAACTGAAGTGCAATCATAAATATTTCTTACAAATAAATGTTACTGTATGTGGTCAATCAGTAACAAATTACTACTAATCTTATGTACTAATATATTACTAAATTTTATAATTTAGTAGTTTAATTACTAGCTGCTAATGATTTCGAATATTTAAGAGATGACATCACGAATATAAAATTAAACAAAATTTATCTGGTGAAACATATTAGTTTTAAAACAAATATCAAAAGCTATAAATACGAGAATTTATTTAACACCTAATAAAATAATAAGTAATACCTAAAAATAATAACTAATAAAATAATAAATAAGTAATTTATAACCCTCATTTTTGCCAGTAATAATTATTCTCCCTGATAGTTGATTGATTGTGAAATAAATTTACGTTAACTTGCAAGCAATTAAATTATGAATTTATTCCGAACATAGATTTACACAGGTTATTTTCAAACTAGATGATTTATTTATTGACGATGAAAACAGTAGAAGTATAGCAAATACCGAAATTTTAATACTTTCCTACATTCAGATAAACGGTACAAAATAATCGTTTATTATTATATTATAGGTAAAATATATCGATTCGCAATGTTAATCGCGGCGACGATCGGGATTTTTATCGTTGCTCTCGCTCTAGGATATATTTATTACAAGTACGTGATATTCAACTTTTGGCGCAAGAAAGGTGTGTTTTATCTCGAGCCTGTTGTACCAACTGGCAATGTAAATGACTTTATAGCTGGGAAAATATCAGGGGGTAAGTATTATCGTATGCTATTAATAGTATCGACAATAACCGAAGAATCCGATTAAAATTGTCCTCACCCTTTACGTCTACAAGGAAAAAACAATTCTGTTGGTGCAACCGAATTTTCGGTTACTCAAGGATCAGACGTAAACTCGGAACAGAAAAATTCCTTTATGACGCTTCTGTATAGTCAGTTGTTCTCAGTTGCCTCAACTGAGTTCTAATATCGTTGAATGTTCAGACGAATATTTTCGGTTGCGACAACAGAAATATTAGTTTTCATAACAGAGATATCGCTTTTGATTACCTAATTTTCAATTGATTCATATTTGTTTACACCAACTGAAATTTTTTTTGCGTGTACCATTTTAAGACCTACGGTTCTACTCTTTTGAGATCTACGATTCTATAGATTCCGCGATATTCTTCTTCTATTAAAATTGAACAGAAATTTTGTGAACAGGTGAACTCTTTCAAAACATCTACCTAAAATATAAGCATTACCGTATCAATAATAAGTAATATAGTAATAAGTAACCTATGCTATCTTAATAAGAATTTTATAAGATATCTATCTACTCACTTATCATGCGTTTATATATTTATTTCTATATCTATTTCTATACCTATTTGCTCATATCTGGCTCCATCGTTTTCTGTGTCTAATCTTATTACTATCCTTCAGATGAAATATAAGTACCTAAAAATAATAAAATAATAAATAAATAATTTATAACCCCCATTTTTTTTGTCAGTAATAGTTATTCCCCCTGATAGTCGATTGGCTGAGAAATAAATTTGCGTTAACTTGCGAGCAACTAAATTATGAATTTATTCCGATATTCATAGACTTACACACGTTATTTTCAAACTAGATAACTCATTTATTGAACCAAAGAATCCGATTAAAATTGTCATTCCTCTTTACGTCTACTATTTTAAGACCTACAGTTCTACACAGATCCCGCGATATTCTTCTGCTATTAAAATTGAACAGAAATTTTGTGAACAGGCGAACTCTTTCAAAACATCTACATAAAATATAAGCATCACCGTATCATTGGAACGTACATGTTTTTCAAACCTAATCTGGTGATTGCGGATCTCGATCTCATTCGAACGGTGCTGACGAAGGAATTCGGGAGTTTCCACGATCGTGGGATGTACTGCAACGAAGAGATCGATCCACTGTCTGGTCACTTGTTTATGTTGTCTGGGAAAAAATGGCGGAACTTACGCGTCAAATTGACACCGACCTTCACATCCGGAAAGATAAAGCAAATGTTCGCGATTGTGAAGCAGTGCGGCGAAGAGTTAATGAAATGTTTAATAAGCAAAGCTGCCACGGAGAATGCTGTTGAGATGAAAGATTTATTTGCACGGTGAGTTACTCTTAAGAGAGCTTCATTTGAACAGGAAATTTATCTCTGAGAATCGACGAAGTAAATACTATGCTTTAAAGATACTCTGTAATTTTGACAGCTATTCGATGGATATAATTATGTCGACGGCATTTGGAATAAACTCCAACTGCCTGATCGAGCCGAACAGTGAATTAAGAAAATGGGGAATAAAGGTTTTCCAAGTGAAGGCCTTGCGGTACGCTCTGGTGATGTTTGCGCCGCAAATTTTGGATTTCTTTTCCATTCCCTCTATAAGACGCGATATCACCAAATTCTTCACGAAAATATTTCGAGACAATGTGGAGTACAGGAAAAGTCACAACATCGTCAAGCACGATTTTATGAATCTACTCATACAGCTTATGGAGAAAGGCTACGTTGAGTCCGACGACGATAAAAATATCACCGATGAACCCAGTAAATATATGTTTTATATCTGTTTTAAAATGAACAATATATATTACACCCTGTATATGTGGCAACTGTATGTATTTTATATGCGAAACGAATGCATATAATTTAATAAACTATTTTGTAGTATTGCAACTGTAGAGTTAGAGCTTAATTCTTATAGTGCCGAACAACGATATATCGTTGTTAGCAACATTTGCGAAAAGTGCCGGACTATCCGCGTCGCGAGAGAACTCTGTCTCAAAATTAATTTTATAAGACGTTATAAATGGTTAAATTTCTCTTCAGAAATTTTTCTTAAACCATATCAAACTACATCAATTTGGTCCGGTATTTTACGCTTAGGTATATTTTTTTCGGTTGGCACTATAAAGGTTAAGTAAAAATAATTAGAAAATAGTTTATTAAATTATATATAAATATATATATATATATATATATAAATATATATATATATATATATATATATATATATATATATATATATATATAT